TCTCAAGTGTCAGTTAAAATTCTCAAATATATTAACTCAATCATTTGACAGAATTCAATGACTAATTAATCATAGACTCATAACATAAGCAATCCAAAACTTGAACAAGTGTTCCTATCCAGCAGTTAGATTCCAGCTCAGTTGGTTTTACTTCCTCCCAGACTGATGAAGGACACCTGCTGTAGCTTCCAGAGGAATTGGTGACTCCATGGTGACATCGTGCACTGACCTCATCCCGAGAGACAAGCCCTGGGGTGAGCAGAGTTGGCTCCTTGCCCTTGGTCAGGAGATCTCCTTCCAGCTGACTGATAAGCACACCACCTGCACAGCACAGGGCATCTGCAACTCTTTCCCAGCCTGGTCACAGCAGATCTTTATGGCCTCTGTGCTGGTGTGGCCATTGCTATCCCCTGCAATGCAAGAGTGCTTCAGAAGTCATGGGAAAAGAATGCAATTAAGAGATAAATTGATTTTGGTTCAACAATGTTTGAGAGTCTGGGATTGTGTTGTCCTGGGAAAGACTTCCCAGTAGGACCTCAGCATCCCACGTGGGGGCCAGTTTGAGTCCCAGCTGTTCCACTTCCAATGTTTCTCCCTCCTAATGGCCTTGGAAAGCAGCAAGTACGAGGGTCCAAGTACGATGGCCCAAGTACGAGGGTCCCTCCTCCCATTTGGAGACTCTTGATTAGGCTTCTGGCTCCTGGCTTTAGCCTGGGCCAGACATGGCCATTGTAGATATTTAGATAGTGAACTGGCAGGTGGAAGATCTCTTTCCCTGTCTCTGCTCTCCCTGTAATTCTGATTTCTCAAAGCAATAAATTAATCTCTAAAAAATTTTTATAGTCCATGTGTAGATTTTTCACAGCATGCATTTTCCATGAATTTTTTGATAACCAGCCACATTCCTACTTTGAATAAAATTCCTGAGAGAGAGATGATCCAGAAACACCCCTTGCTGAGTGTCCCTTTGCTAATATGCGGATCTGGTTGCCCCAGACAGTTGCAGTTATCAGCATTAAAG